TTTTCTTTCTTTTTAAAGAGTAATGCAAATGCCACCACCAATTCATTCCTTCTTAAAAAAACGTGAGTTGTTATTTTTGTGTGTGTAAGAGCAACTCTAGCAGACCCCGCAAAACGCCCGGCCCGCAAAAATTCCGGCGAGTATGCGGGCTCGAGACAATTTCCCGGCCAGAATAGAGCCCGCATACTCGCCCGGCCCGCAAAATTTTTTGCCGCAGCCCGCAAACCGCACGCCACGAGCACTATAAGTGTGCTTCCGCGACCCTTTTGCGGGTCCAAACCCTATCCCCCCGCCGCCGCGAGCCACCCGATTCCCCTTTCCCTTCTCCCAATTTCTCGCCGCCGGCGACCCTGCGCCCCGCCTCCAGCCGCCATGTGGGGGCGAATGTGGAGCTCCGGACGCGGCTCCGGCAGCAGATGCGGCCATGAGAGGGACCCGGAGCGTGAGCGGCGCATCCGGTGCAACGGCGCGAGGAAGCGTGGCCCCTGGAAGTGGACCAACCACGGGCTGTCGCCGTCAACGAGTTTCGAGCGCCGCGAGACGGAGGAGTACGACCGTCGGCGCGCGTCCTTCTCCTCCGCGAGGTCTTCCTACGCCGGATCCTCCTCCTCCTCCGCCGCGGGGTTCCTCCCCGTGAAGAGGGAGTGGTCGGACGAGGAGGAGGAGTCGGAGCCACCGGCGCCGTTCGTCCCGGTGAAGGAGGAGCCCGAGGAGCCCGCTCCGCTCGGCCGCCGCGGAGTCCTTGGGCCCGAGGACTTTGTCGCGGACTTCGCCGCTGTCGCCGCCGACATCGCCGAGCGGAGCGTGCGCGAGGAGGAGGAGCGCCGGCGCCACGCCGAGGAGCTCGAAGCCCTCGAGTGGCGGCAGGCGGTCGCCGACAACGTCGCCGCCAACGAGAAGGCTGACGAGTGGCGCCGCATCCGCGCGGAGCAGGCGAAGAAGTACGTCAATCTGTGCAGCTCCGGCGAGGAGGATTGAGCGTCCAGCTCCTCCACGGCGTCATCCAATTTGCCGCGACCTCGCCGCCGTCAGGTCCGACCCCCTAGTACTAGTTTAACGTAGTATGTAGTATAGCTGTGCTTGTAGTTTGTTGATCATGTGATGAACTATGTTTGTGCAGTTTCTCCCGCGAAAGTATTTTTCCAAAACATGCAGATTTATATACGGGTTCTCCTCGGCCGTGCATGTTTTTGACCCGCAAACGCGACCTTCGTCAACCCGCAAACGCGTTTTGCGGGTCGTATTTTTGCGGGGTCTGCTAGAGTTGCTCTAAGTATAAATGCAAATGTCAGCTATAGAAATAGAATAAGAGCCAGTTGCAGCACGTGCTACTAGCCACTATGTGAGAGTGAGAGGTGTGCCATGAATTAATGAATTACTATATCTTATATTTTATTATTATATTTGCTGGCTATAAGGTTGGCTATAGATGAAATGGCCATATCATATAGCCATCAGCTGGCTGTACTACTAACCATGCTCTTATGCATGTGATGAATCATGAAGTGTTAATGACTGGTGTTTAATAATGAACTAAATACTGCATATGCGATTAGCCGGTTGGCTGTTGTATGTGTGAACGGCCGAGTGTAATGGAATGGATAGTGAGCTATCGTGTGATGCAATCGGATAAATCTCCTAAAAAAGTGACTGATCTTAATATTAAATTCAGTCACCTGATCTCCGGCGCTACCCAATTTCTCAGAGAAATTACTAAATCTTGAATAGACTATTGAATTGTATGCAACCTCAAAATATTCTTCAGCCAAATTATCACATAATTTATTCCTTTTTATGAAACCTTAGATTTGTTGGTGTGCTTTTTTTAAGAGTGTTCAAAACTTAATCTGGTTCTTTTATTTTTTCCTCGAAAGATCCGGTGCGTTTTTTCTTGCGAAGAAAGATCTGGTTCGTTGATGTGTGACAAAGAAATAAAGATTCAAAAATAACAACAAAACTATCAACTATTCATCTTTGCTTTTGCTTACAAAGTTTTTTTACATGGTAATGCGTGTATCATTCATATGATAAAGATCAAAGTACATCTCTGAATTTGACACCTCTGAAACTAAAAAGAGAGCAAAACATCTCTGAATTTGACACCAACGTCCATCCCCTGCCTCCGGCACCACCACAGCAACCACTGAAGAATAGAATAACAAATCACCTCCTCACCCGAGCTCGACGCGCTGATAAGTAGCTTTGCGGACCTCCAAGGTGGCTCCCCAAAAGTTAAGCCATTGTCGTTGAACGAATCGGACCAGGGCAACACCCCGGACACGCCATCGAACTCCATATCTGACTCCCCACCACGACTAAGACGCCGAAGGAGGAAACCATACCTGCCATCCATCAACCACGAACCTAGCACACGTTTCGTCTTCGAGATGTTGTCGATGCATACCACAATCTGCATCTGCTCCTAGACTACCTCCCACGCTCCGCGCCGACGCCGCTGCAGACGCCGTCGCAACGGCGGAGCCTGAGGACAATGTCCACCACGAGGATGCCGCCGCCACACCATCCGTGCTTGAACAGACTGTATTCCAAATCAATCCCCAACGATAAGACCAATCGTCTCACCGGGTTAGGATCTGAAGAAATTTTATTCAGTGTCGCCATCGCCGCCGCCGAAGCCAAGACGATGAACAACCTAAAAAATTAAACTACTTTGGCATAAAACTATTCACACACGTGAATCCGGCAACCCCACTCACCACCAACGACTGAGGTTGTCGATGGAGGGGAGCCGCCGGAGAACGCCGGCGAAAAATTAAATCGCTTTTCCTGTCTTCGGGAGGAAGATACTTACAAAGTTCCTTTGCTTATCCCCACTAAACTGTTAATTAGTAGCACGGAGTACCTACACATATGTATATACTGTACAATACGATCCCATCCTGCAGCTGTATATATACGCGCGCCTTTGCGATCCTCAACGTGGGACGTGGCAGCAGAACTAGTAGCTAGGCTTGTGCTAGCACGTAGTTGGTCCGAAGCCGACGTAACCAGTGGCGGAGTCGACGGTGATCTGGATCCCTGGCTGCTGTATGTTGCCGAGGATGGACAGCCCCGACGCCGACGCCGCGAACGCCAGGCAGTACACGCCGCCGCCCATCTCCACCAGCAGGTTCCTCGCCGGCAGCGTCAACGCCGCGCCGTCCCGCCCGAAGTAGAGGGCCACCGTCGGCACGCGCACGCTCGCGTATCCGCTCAGGTCGTAACACGTGTCCAGCAGCGACACGCCCGGCGCGCGCGGGAGGCCGCCGCCAACGGCGTCCGCGAACGCGTCGCGCAGCGCGGCGTAGGCGTCCGGCGGGAGCCGCGTCACGGCCGTGCCGGTGTCCAACACCACGCCGCCGCCGCCGTCCTCGGTGAGGTCGAAGAGCCCGTCCTGTAGCGGGAGCCTCTCGCCGCCGACGCCGAGCCCCGTCAGGCCCACGTAGTAGAAGCTCGGCTCCTGCGCGTTGCGCAGCAGAGGCACCCACACGGCGCCCACCGGCATGGCGTCGTCCCGGCCGAACACGAGCGACCCGGCGCCGGCGTCGGCGCCGCGGCTGGCGAGGCAGTAGCTGAACGCGCCGCCGGCAGCGCCGCCCAGCTGCCCGACGAGCGACATGGGGCCCCAGCCGAGGCCGAGCAGGCCGGCCGCCCCGACGAAGAGGCCGCGGTTGCGGTGGCCGCAGCCGATTGCGACGCCCTGCACCGGCGTGCTGTCCCCGAACGTGAGCGTCTCCATCGCGAGCACGCCCTGGGTGTACGACCCGTCCCCGTACGACACCTGGTACCGGCACGCTCCGGAGTCGGCGCAGTCGGAGGATCCTCCGGGTAGCGTCCTGCAGACGCCGGAGCCGCACGGCACGGCGGCAAAAGACGCCGACCCTGCCGGATCGAAGAGTGGGTCGGCCTGCTGGTAGCACTCGGCGCAGGGGCGGCACTGTACCCAGATGACGTCGCTCCCGGAGTCCACGACGAGGTACTGCTCCGTGGGCGGCGACCCCACGCCGACGCGCACGAAGTACTCGCCGCTGCCCTCGGAGATGCCCGACACCACCTCCGACCCCACCTCCGTGGTCATCGTCGTCGGCGAGAGGCGGCGCTGGAGGTACTGTGCCCGCGCGCCGTCCCTTGCCGCGAGACCAAGCATGGCGTGCCGCGTGGACGGGTACGTCCTGCCGGAAACGGCGTCGCGGTGCAGCAGTGCAAGCGAGGGGCGGCCATCGCGGCGCGACAACGAGGAGGGGGACGGTGACGTGGGCGCAGCCATGGTGAAGTTGCGAGGGTCGATGTAGTGGAACCGCAGTGACGACGGTGACGAAGCCGAAGCGCCGGACATGATCACGGCGGAGACGAAGAGGAGGGCGACGGGCAGAAGAAGCGTGGTGGTGATTGCGGCGGCGTGCATGACCATGGTGCGCGCGTGCACACACAAGTGTTTGTGGAAACGACGAAGCTTTATTTCGAGCAGGAGCTAGGTAGCAGAGGCCCGGGCGATTTATGAGTTCCGCGGTGTGTGGGTGGCAAGTGTGGTGTGTGTTTGCCACGTATGATAACGCATTGTTGACAATAAAGTCCATTTGATCGATCGTAACGTCGAACGCAAGTTAGTGAACTACAGTCAGTTTTTGACCTGTTTTAATGCTATTTGGTTTGGGGTTTCTGGAGTGGCATGCTGTCCTCTTTGGCTCAATTGAAAGACTTTTTGCCTTGCCTGTCGATTTGATCGTGCCTTTTGTCTACCTTTCATCTTTAGCGACCGCCTATACATCAGGCGACTGATTTTTTTTCAAACTTTTATACGATTTTTTTCCAACCAGTCACCACCCTTTTTCATTAATCTCTTAACAGAAATATATTGTCTGTTTAATTAACTAGCTTTCAACCAATTGTCAAGAAAAGACTAGCTTTCAGCCAATTTTACACGGACAATTATATGGAAATCCAACAACCGCCCTTCTTGGTCCTTGAGTGTTCCAATGCTCTTCTTCCTCTTCTCTCTGTCCTTTGCACTATTTTTCAGAAAAAAATTCAATGTATTCATCATCTGTCATAGCAGTACAGAGAACACCATCAGAAGTATAAAAAAATTATAATCAGGTTCGTGGACCGCATGGTGACGACTACAAGTCAAATCCTGTCCTCCACTATCGCAAAGTCTTGGTGAGCCCTCACCAACGACGCCGCAACGTGCCTGTCTCGAGGTCAGTCGGGTGTTGTGAAATCTATCTATTTGTAATATAATCCCTACTGATAAATTTTCAGTTTTGCATGCAAAAGTACAGCAGATGCACTACGATGAGAACTGAATAGAATATATATTCCCGATGCAAATAGGTTGTGTTACCCCTACAAGGAACATTCAAATTCTATACATCACACCCCGCAAAAAAAAAAACTATACATCACACCAGATAGTCCGCCATGCAAGGTGTTTGCATAGAGAGCATAACCACAAAATGATTACGAGAAGAAAGTTAACCATCATTGCCATCTTTCCCCACTAATTATTTCGACATCTCAGGCTGGTCGTAATGCGAGTATCATAGCTAGTATCATGCATGCCAAGTAGGCAATTTTGATGATGTGGCATATAATTAAATGAAAAAAGAAAGGGTTGAGTATCATACAATGATACCGTATCATAATAAATGCAATGCTACTATGTGTCATGCATGGCAATAAATAAAGTCATCTATGATACTAGTACATGATACTATGCATTAGGGAGGTAGTATCACACACTGGTATCATATGCATGATGCTAACTTATGATACTACCCATTACAAGCAACCTCAAAGTGAAAGGAAAGGAAAAGTCATGTAGTTCGATCCTTTCATACAGCTATGCCATCTAATTAGTATGATGTGCCTATGAGTGGGATGAGTTAGAAAGTTGAGTTCCTTTTTTTTGGCCGTGGAGAGCAACCATCTGATCATGCAGATATTTCTATGCAAAAAACACATCATTTTCAAACATGACATCTGAGTCAATCGTACTATTACCACTTTAAAATTCTCGAGTTCATTTTGCCGTCACATAAAGGAGATAAGGAAGTTCACGATGGTGTGCTCACGAGTACCGGCCACTAGAGAATGATTGAAGTGAGGGGTAGCTAGAGTTAGTTCAGGTGTTGAACCCAACCTACGTTGGCAGTCTCCATTCTTGATCATTAATTAGGGTATGATTAGTGGATCTTGTCACTAGCTAGTTCTAGCCCAAGATTATTTACAAGTATTTTAATTACATGGATGCGTGCTTACTAGCTAACCTAAAAGCCGACTACTGAAAAGTGGCTTGATTTGTTGACATCTACCGTAAGAAACCAAATTAGTTGTCTCTGCACTATGTCACCATAGGTCACTTGCATGAATGGATGGATGCAATTAGTTGGAGTATGCTCAATATCACTTAATAAGCTTCGTTCTAGAAGATTGTATGACAATATAGCCACAACCACCAGGAAAACATTGATATGAACCCACTATCTAGCTCCCTTTGAAGTTTGGAAGCTGGCATTCTTGTTTTTAATGTATATGATCGGATGATGTGTATCGACCTGCAATTTTTTTTCATGCAAAGTGTGTGCATGCTTTGCATGTTGACATGGTCTTTCAAATTTTAAATGTTTATATATTTTATCCTTAATTTTTGTTAAAACATATTCAGAAAACATAGCAGAATTTTTGTTATATTATGTAAACATTTTTGAAGATAAATCTTTACGTATGATTTCTGTGCATCTGACTGAAATATTTAGAAACTGTTCGTGGTTACAAGTGAAGAAACTGGGCAAATCAACGTTTTAGAAACTAATGGTGGTTACAAGTGTCCAAAATGCTTGTTTTTTACTGTAGATTTTTTTCTTTGATTACCTAGTTATGTTTGGTCCACATCCATCCCTTGCCATATCAACGATAATTACAGCAAATGCTACCTAGGTTTATAAAAATTGGTCCACATGTATGGTATAAAATGAAGAATTAATTTAGGAGTGTTTGAACAACCAGCTCGAGCGAGCAAGTTTGCATTAAACCATGAGTGCTTAAGTTTGCACAATTGCAGCGGTCAGTTCGTGTGCTCTGATAAAAGAGTGAGAAATGCAACATGCCAAGTCTTATGGTGCACATACGTATCAAGCTTTCAAGGATCATTCAGTAAAGCAGGATGGTGTGCTCACCGGTACCGGGCACTAGACAATAATTGAGTGGTAGCTAGAGTTGGTTCAAGTGTTGATCGGAAAGTTTTTTTGGGTAAAGAGAAGATCTTGAACGCAAAGTTGGCAGGCCATTCCTGGGAGATAAATTAGCATATGATTTGTTGATCTTGTCACCTAATGGTATAATGCTTTATCCATACTTAAATCACTTGCGTGGACGCTTACTAAAATCCGACTACTGAAAAGTAACTCGATTTGTTAACCTGTATCATGTTAACAAATTACTCCAGTTGTCTGTGCACTACGTCACCTCAGCCCTGAGGTGTCTTTCATTGCACGCATGCATAGACGCAGTTAGCTGGTGCATAGTTCCACTTAATTAACAAACTTCGTTCTGGTAGAGTAGCTAGCCAGGATGGGCATTAAATCGCTGTTTTGACGTTTATATATTTAGGGTTTAGGGTTTAGGCTTGCTCACTTTAGAGGACTATCTAGTTATGCAGAAATCATAAAATATTAAGCTTTGAATCGCCACGCTGTGAATATTGTATATTTTTTCTCCAAATTTGGTACTTTGATTTTAGTCATCACTTTTTACTACAGTGTGCCATAAAATTTAAGAGAATTGTTATATGATAAGCGTATATTTGAAGAAAATTCTATGTATTAGACTTCCATATATTCAATCAAAACATGTGATTAAAGTTTCAAATTTGACCAAAACCGAGTTGCACGGTGGTATAAAAGGTCTGAATGGTGGAGGAGCTCGCTTGGCTCCTCTCGACACACGACGAGTGAGCCTTTGTCGAGGCAGCACATGGCCAGTTGCTTGGCTGCCCTCGGTTTTTTCGTCGACCAGATATATGCTCTCGATCTGGGAGGTAGAAGCTCATCTATCTGGCCGAGGCAACTGACGCAGTCCCTAACGTTGTGGGCCGAAATAACTTGGAAGATCCTTTTGATTTTCTATGGTGCGTTGCAGTTGTGTTTTTAGAGAATGTTGCAACTGTGTTCTTTTAACACAATACAATCAGTGACGCTCACATACATGGACATACACTCACTCCTATGAACACACGGACTCACACTCTATCCTTACTAGTTGACTGCAACGAGTGAAGGCAAACGATGATTGCAACCGTCAAATGATGACGGTTAGTTTTGTCCTCTCAAAACCAAGCTAAAATTTGCACTTCATTCCTTCTGACCTTCTAGTTTGCTTGTTTAACCAACATCCAGGCTATGTTGGCGTCTTGGACTAACCGCACGGATCCACCACAGATGGGATCCCCACCACCACCTGCTGGAGAACCCCCACACGTGCCCATGTTCGATGAATGGTTGGCACTAGGCAGTGACACTCCGGTTAGTACATTTGTCCTTACAATCTCTTCATTCAACACTATCATATCATATTTACCATTACAATCTCTTCTCAAACATGTAGGGGACCGGCGGCTCGACTCCAGTCACTCCGATCTGGCAAGGAGGTGGCGGTCTTGGTGGTGATTGTCTTGGCGGTGCTGGTTTTGGCGGTGGTGTCTTGGCGGTGGCGGTCTTGGCGGTGCTGGTTTTGGCGGTGGTGTCTTGGCGGTGGCGGTCTTGGCGGTGCTGGTTTTGGCGGTGGTGGTCATGCCTGATGTTGATGATGATACTCGCGCCTGTGGCCGTCGTGCCATACTTATCATGTTCCTACTTCTTAGTTTCTTTAGATGACGATGATGATGTTCCATGTCTTGCAATACTTATGTTCATAAAGTTTTGACGATGATGATGTTGATGATCTTTAGATGATGAACTTGAGTATATTTAGATGATTATGATGATCTTGAGTATCTTTAGATAATGAACTTGATGATGATCTTGAGTATCTGATGGTCTGTCATATTTCTGTGTATATATGCATACTGTCATATTTTGTGTCTTTGAATGCTGTCAAATGGAATGAAAAGAGAGAAAACAGAGCAAATAAAAAAACAGAACAGATCTATGCCGACGGCCAAGCCGTCGGCATAGTAATGGCCAGGAGAAACCGGGTGCTGCCACGTGGCACTGATATGCCGATGGCCTGGCCGTCGGCATACCTTTCTCCCAGGAGTGACCAGAAGCTGCCGCGTGGCACTGGTATGCCGACGGCCAAGCCATCGGCATACCAATGCCAGCAACAGCCCAGCATGTTTGACGGCGCCGTCCGTTGCCGTCTGGTGAAAATCTGCGCTGACGGTTTTTCTATGCCGACGACCGTACGGACGCC